AATGCATTTTTCAATAGGAGGCCGAATCAAATCAACTCACACCCATTGGTGAGTAAACATTCCACCCTAATCCTCACCAGAACCAGCAAACAAACCTCTGTAGGATCAGACTGCTGAAAGTAAACTACATTTTTCTCTTGTGGAATGGCTGGTAGATTTGAATCCCTGGCCTGTAGGTAAGTTCCTTTGGACTACCAGAGCTTCAGGAAAGAAGTCTTATAAAGCAGTTAGACCCTCTCCTGTTGTGTCACCACAAATTGGAAGTAACTGTAATGCTGTGATGGAAAGAAATTAGAATTCTCAATCATTGCTGGTAGGGATGTAAAAGAGAAAGTGCCTTCAAATTTGTTCAGAAATATTCCATAAAAAGCTACCAAGTGTGACTCAGCAGTTCTACTGCTGGGCATGTATCTAAATGAACACATTCCCATATAAAAATGGTTCATGAATATTGTTTGTTGTTAGGTGCCATTGAGTGTGTCTCATAGCAACACTATGAACAGCCATCCTGAAATGTAGCCTATTCTATGACATCCTTATAATCTTTGAGACTAGAGCCCACTGCTGAAGTCAGAGCCAATCCATCTCATTGTTGGGGTCTTCCTCTCCTTTGCTGACCTTTCATCTTTTCAAGCATGATATACCTTTCCAAAAAATAGCCTCACCTAGCTACAGGTCCAAAATATGAAAGACGAAGCTTCACCATCCTTGACTCCAAGATACACTCTGGCCACACCCCTTCCAGGACATATGGGGGTTTTCTTTTTGGGCAGTCTTCTCCAGCACAACTCAAAGGTATCAATTTTCTTCTGTCATCTTTATTCATTGTCCAGCTAATAAAGTGATAGCAGGTGACTGAGAAGACCATGGCCTAAATCAGGTGCATCTTAGTCTTCAAACTGACATCACTGCAGTTCACTATTTTGGAGAGGTCTCTGACAGCAGATTGCCCAATATATCTCCTAATTTACTGATTGCTGGTACCAAGGGTGTTGATTGTTGATCCAAGCCAAGATGAAATAATTAACAGCTTCAATCTTTCTCCGTCTATCCTGTTGACTATAGGGCTTGTGATGAGGATCTTTGTCTTCTTGATCTTGAGCTGTAACCCATAACTGAAGGTTGTAGTCCTTGTTCTACTGCAGTAAGTTTTTTATATCCTCTTCACTTTCTGCTTGCAAAGTTGTATCATCTGCATGACACAAGTTGTTGACTTCCTCCAATCATGATGCCACTCTCCACAAGAGTCTAGCTTCACGAATTATTTGCTCAGCATACAGACTGAATAGCTATGGAGAAAGGGTACAATCCTGAAATACATCCTTCCTGATCTTAAACTATGTAGTGTTCCCTTGCTTTGTTCACACAACAGCTTCTTGGCATAGGTATCCTGTACTACATTTGTATGCCTGGTTGTCTTTACAGTTTGCTTTTAGAGCTACAACATCTATCTGTTAGTTTGGTTATTAGAGAGTGATTTACATGTTGCCAATAACTTAGCTATCTTACATGTGTTTAAGATTAGGTGTTATTTGCTCCTGTTAGTACAGCACTTGTCAGTCTGCTTTACTTGTGTAGCACTCTAGTTCTGGGATCTGTGCCTCCAGGGTCTCAGGTACTAGAAGAGTCACTCATGATGGAAAGATTGCAACGGAGCTCCTAGATTAAGAGAGACTAAGGATTGGCCATCCACTCCCCCCCCCCAAAAAAAAGGTCTTTGAAAACCCTATGAACAGAGAACATAGGTCATTACACTATTAGACTTAAGAGCCCAGATAGGAAGTCACTCAAAATGAGGAGATAAATCTGCTAGAGAAATTAAAACATGGAATGTATGAAGTATGAATGTAAAAAAATGAAATAGAACACATGAAGATGACATTCTAGGTATCACTTTGAATCAGAAAATCACATGATCCAGTATGCTGGGAATGAAAAATTGAGGAAGAACAGTGCTGCTTTCATAGTTAAAAAGACAATTTCAAGATTCATCCTGAAGTACAATGCTGTGACAGGATACTTAATATGCATACTAGGAAGACCTGTTTATATGACTATTATTCAAACATATGAATGCCTAGAACAGGCATTTCTACCAGCCAGAAAGTAGGAAAAATCTATTTATTCAATTTTAATGTAAAAATATTTCAAGTTTCAAATCCTCCTAAAACAAGAAACATGTTTTGCTGTGTTGTTTTTAGGTGCTGTTGTGTCAACTAAGACTTAAAGTGACAATATGAACAGATCTGAACTTTGTCCTACCTATGCTATCCTTATCAGCTAAAATACACTTGAGCTCATTGCTGTTAGGTCACTGTGTTAAGTCATCTAGTTGGGGGCTTCCTCTCTTTCACTCTATTTTCCTGAGCATAGCCTCTTGTAGCAACATATCCAATACGAAGCTGCCATTTTTGCCTCCAAGGAGCACTCTGGCTGCACTTTCCCCAGGACATATATGTATGGTTCTTTAGGTATTTCATGGACTATTCAGTGCAACTTCTTCAACATCATAACTCAAAGGCATCATTTTTTCCTCTGTCATTCTTATTCATTGTCCAGCTCTCTGATACATACCAAGTGATTAAAAAGGTCATGGTCTGAAATAGATACACCTTAACTCTTCAAACTAACATCACCGCTCTTCAGTATTTGGGAGAGGTCCCTCAGTGGATTTATCCAGTGTAATGTCTTCTGATCTCCGGACTGCTGGTACCAAAGGTGTTAAATGTTGATCCAAGTAAGACAAAATCTTTGACAACTTCAATGCTTCCTCTGTCTATCATGATGCTGTCTATTGGCCTAGTGTTGAGTACCTCTGATTTCTTGATGTTGAGATATAATCCATACTGAAGGCTGTAGTTTGTGATCTTTGGCAGCATGTGTTTCAAGTTCTCACTTTCAGCAAGCAGGGTTGTGTCCTCTGTGTAATGGAGGCTCTGATGCTGATGCCACATTCGTCAGAGTCCAGTTTCATGAATTACTTGATCAGCATAGAGACTGACTAGATACAGAGAAAGGATACATCTCAGATGCATACCCTTCTGGATTTTAAACAATACAGTGTTCCCTTGCTCTGTTTGGACAGTAGCTTGTTCTTAGTACAGATCTTTATTATTTTTTTTTTTTTGCTTTTTATGGTGCTCAAATACGTTTAAAGTTTCAATCATTTTTATGTGTATAATACTGTGACATTAAATGCTGGTGGTGGTGGTGTGTGCTATTGAGTTGGAACCAATTCAGAGCTGACCCTCCAGTGTTTACAAAAGACTTTTGCTAAAATTCAGAGATAAGCTGTTTTAGGTTTTAAGTGACGTACAATTTTGGCAGTGGGAACTAAATGTATAAATACCAGATGACTATTATGCATCCAGATTTGTGAATTTGAATAAGCTTAATCAGATGTCGGAATTTAGCTATAAAATAGTGCTTTTTGGATCAGTATTTATACTTTCTTGGCAATCAGTGGTTTTGTTTTTTTAAAAAGCTTTTAGCTGTTCTGTGATTAGAACTGGTGAAAAGAAGTTGGAATTAACTTTAAACTCCCAATTAAAGTGTTAAGGATCAGTAGATACTTTTACTCATCTCATTGGAAACTTGTAAGTTCAAAGATGCTGAAGAGTTTGTCAGCTTCTTTTGATCTCTTAAACAACTTGAACACAATGGCTATTTTTTACGTCTTTCTTTACCTTTTGTCTAGTCTTGCCTCCAGATATTCATTTAACCGTCTCTTCCTTAGACCAGAGACCTGCCTAACTACTTTTCTTTGCCAACCTCAGATCTGGAGTTCATCTGCTCTTTCCTAATATTGTGCATGGAGTGTTAAGTATAAGTTAGTAGAAAGTTTTAATGGCCTGGAAGATGTTTATTCTAGTGAAGCTTTTCATACCAAGTAGTCAATTAATAAGATAGAAAGATGAAAAAAAAGAAGAAAAGCTGTCATTTTTAAGAGCTCTTAAAAGATCCATAAAACACGGCAGTCTAATAAAAATACACTTATGGGGGAGAAGTGGGCAGGGAGGATAATGTGCAACAATGGGTAAATGGAAATCCAAGTTATCTATAATCTTTCATTAAAATCGCAATTAAAAATACATTAATCACTGAAAACAATAAATATGTTTAAAGCACTATTAACAACAATACAAAGGTTATTTTAAGTTTTAAGCTGTGGAGTCCTTTAAAATGTTTTGTTAAAATGTTTTGTATAAACAGAAAAGGAAATCATCATTTTTAAAGACAGGCACAAATAATTTCAAATTTGATGTACTTTTGAAATTTTTTATTTACCTTTTATTTTAAAAGAGAAAGACCACTGAAATTAATTTTTAAGAATGTAGAAAACAAAAATTTGCCAAACATCAGATCTACACAAATCCTTACAAAGGTTTTCTGTGTAGTCTTCATAAACGCGAATCTTTGTAAATGTTTCAATCTTACTGTAGATCTTGAATCCATTTCACAATAATGAGGCTATAAAATTTTTATGCACTGCATTCACTATATAGTATAAATAAAATTTCTATTAAAGGGAAAGCAGGATAATACAAAAATATGAGAGAGACAGAGAAGGCAATCTGTTGAGGCTCCGTATATCTTACTTGCTTTGTAGCTTTCTGTCATTACTTTCAAATAACATACAGCACATGAGGAACAGTAATCATCTCCTTTATGAATCTTCTCTATTTAAAAATCTATTGTTTGTAAAACTGGACCAATTATCATAAACTATCATTTGCATAATTCATCGCAAGTCTGTTAGCAAAGCATTTAGTCAATGGTATCAACAAATGAAAGAGGATGGAAATTTATTAAAAAAAATTTGTTAAGCTTGCCAACTCATTAATTATTACAGACTGTGCTGCTATTTCAATTTCTAATTAGATGTTCAATGCCTCACATTCAAAGACTGATCAATGGAAAGAAGCAAAAATGAAATTATTTTCTAGGTACAGCAATATTTCATTTGATAACAAAAGGATAGGACAAAATATAAGCAAGATTTATATGCGTTCCAATTTTTCACTCAAGAATTCTTCTACACTGTCTGTGTTCCACTTAAGGATGCTTAATTCTTCAGCAATGTTCCCATTGTCGTCCAAAAGCTTAAGTACAGGATCTGAACCACGAACATACTAAAAAGAAAAGATGGTCATTATTTTCTGTTCATAAAGAACTGACAAAGTCCAAAATGATTCAATCTAGATCAAAGAGTTAAACAAAAACTTTTCCAAAACAAAACAAAACATAACATGTGAATCAACATTTCTTAAAGAAAGTATTTAAGGAAAACGTCAATGACATGTTTTAAAAAAATTTAAAAAAAGAGAGAGAGAGAAGGACAAAACCACACCTTTATCTTACTTCTAAAGAGAAAACTACCTTTTGGTATAAAAACAGTTTGAGAATTCTATTACTAAGAGTACTAAATATTTAATATATACAAGACACTAAAAAACTCTCAAACAAACTTAAAATCTAATGGAAACAGACTAGTCTTGACAAAGAATTAATGGTATTGAGTAATGCTGAAATAAGTTATCCAAATAAATTATCAATCTCAGGACTTACAGTTCACATAATAACTTTTCTTTGGTTTATGAAACTAATGATTCTGCTGAAATGAATCAAGGATTGAGCTGTGTTCTTGAAACTTCAGATCCAACAACTAAATGGTCCCATATGTCACAGACAGCTCTGAGATATTCCAAGTTTCATTAAATGTGACAACAAATATTATCCCATTTGTTACATGGACCTTCAATTCTAAATAAAGTATAGCTATATATAACTAAATAACTAGATATACAGATATCCTCTTTCAGAAATAATGTGTCAGCTTTCCCTTCTCCTAGGTTGTGAAACTCTAGAGATGGAAGTAAGCTCTCATGTACTGCTGTTGTTGTATACCTTCAAGTCAGTAATGACCCCCAGCTGACTCTCCTGCAAGTTTCAGAGTGCCCATCGTTAGCACTTGGCATATTCTCAACTATATTTGCAGAGTTGTAGAAATGTATGCTGAAAAATATAGCTTACATTTCTGAGAGACATTTTACCAATGGCATTGCTGTTTAAAGATACCAACAATAATAATTATCAATGTTAGCTTTAAAATAAATTCTAGAAACCATTAAACTTTAAGAGCCAATTAAAAAACTCAACATTTAAAAACTAAAAAAAAGCCAAAACAAAAAAACATTTTTTTGCTATATATAATTAGTTATTAAGAAACGGTACTCAGTTTCTTAGTCATTTTATCTTAATCAATTACAAGTCAAAAAATTTAACAGTAACTGAAATTAATATTCTACTCCTTAAGACCCTAAGTAACTGAGTTTTTAGGAAAAACTGCCCCTAACCTATAGGCTCTGTGAGTTAATAAATCATTAATTACACACATATGTAAATATTATGTACATAATACTAATAAGTAAGTATTTCTGATTAGGCTATTCATAAAAACTCATTCTAAATATTTCTTTTAAAAGACACTTATTTTAATTAGGAAATAAAAAGGTTATAAAGAGATTTCATTAAAATTAACTCTACCTTGATTTGCAGTCCTCGGAATAGCTTGGGTTTATCACTCCTGACAAAAGCTTAAAAGAGACAAAAAAAAAAAGAAGAAAAAAAAAAAAAAGAAAGAGCTGAGTTTGTTTACTCACATGTCCAAATTGGCTACCAAAAACAAAAGAAAAAGAAATAAACAATATGAATGCAAACACATGCATAGTCCTTGGATAGGAGGACTATATATTTTAAAACCCTGTTGGGCACCTATTAAAATGTTTAAACAAATAAATATTTACTGAACAACTATAAGCCAGATTAAGAGAGAAAGCTATATAGAAAGGAAATGATTCCTGTCCTCAAGAAACTTACAATTTGCGAAGGGGAAAAAATTAAACACAACCAACCAAGGAGTAACATAATAATCACAGCAGTAGTAAGTAGTATAAAGGAGACATTCATGATACTACGAAAGAATAGTAATTTTAATGAATATGGAAATTAAAATCTTCCTCTAAGCATGACCCTGAAAGGAATCTTTAACTGATTTAATGATATAAAAAATGGAAACTTCAGGGTAGCAAAATAGCAGCAATTAAAAAAGAAAAAGTATAGAGCGAAAAAATTATCTTTACAAATTTATAAAAACTTGTACTTTTTATATAAGGCTCCTTACATCTTAAAACAGCAGGTAGACAAATGGGTTAAGGAAAGGGACATATAATACACAAATACACAAGTAATAGAAATAAATATTCAAACATCACAAATAAGTAATAAAACATCACACAAGACAGTGGAGCATTCTCATTCAGACAGGGTAAAAAGAATAATCAGATTGGACAAAAGAAGGGATTGTCCTGGGGTAAACTGTGGGAATTAAACATAGGACTATCTTGTGTTAAAAACGTAATGTATTTTTCTAAAACACGAGTTAGATGCCCCATTTACTTATTTCTAATAGCTTCATAATTTAACAACTCACAATTATTAGAATGAAAAGGCTATATATTACATCAATACAGGTTACCTGTAGAAAAATCAAGAGGCAGAGTTTGAAGAGACTAAGGGGATACTGTTGTTTTGTGTACTGTTGACTCAGAACTGACCCATAGCTGACCCTCTAGAGGGTTTTCAAAGGTAGTTAACCAAATGGGAGGAGACTGCCCATCCTTCTCTCATAAGGGATTATTATGTAGCTTAAAATCAGGGAAGGTGGTCTATTTTTTCATGATTAGTATTCAAATATGAGCAGGTAATCTGAGAAGCTGGTCTACATAAAGAACTTGTCATTAGGACTGGAGGGAAAATGCATTAACAACTTGAGACACAACCCTGCTTGCTCAAAATGAAGAGGACTTGAAAGCATTTACTAATGAAGGTCAAATATTCACAGCCTTCAGGAAGGATTATTATATATCAACATAAAGGTAACAGAAATCCTCACAACTGGACAAATAAAAATCATCAAACATAGGAAAGACTGAGGTTGTCAAGGTTGACGTATTACTTAGATCTATAATCAGCTCCCACAGAAGTAGCCAAGAAATTAATGATATATTCATTGAAAAAATTGCTGGAAAAGATCTCTTTTTAATGTTTTAAAACAAAGATGGTCACACTACCAAGCATGCGATTTTCCCCCCAGGTCCTTCTGATAACATGCCCAAAGTATGTTAGACGAACTCTTGTCATCCTTGCAGGAACATTCTGGCTGCAATTCCACTAAACAGAAATTTGTTGTTTTTGTAGTCCATGCTATATTAAATTCTTCACTAACACAAATAATAGGTATCAATTCTTTGGCCTTTCTTATGGTCTAAGGTTCACATGCACATGAGGTGAATGAAAATACCATAGCTGGGCACATATTAGTTCTCAAAGTGACACCCTTGCTCTTTAGAACTTTAAAAAGCTCCTTGGCAGTGGATTTACCCAGTGCTGTCATTTACTTATTTGACTGCTGTTTTATGAGAACTGACTATGGATACAAAGAAAATGAAATCCCTGACAACTTTGATCTTACCTGTATTTATGATCTGTTTACTGATATAATGTAAGGATTTCCCCTCTTTATTTTCAGGTATAATCTATATTGAAGGCTGTTATGTCTTCGAGCTTCATTCATAAGTGCGTCAAGTCCTCTTTACTCTCAGCAAGTCAAGTTGTGTCACACCCACATTAAAGGTTGTGAGCGAGTGTTTCTTGATGTCACTTTCTTCTCAGATTATTTGTTCAACATATAGATGAGTACAGTGAAAGGATACAAACTTGATAGACAATTTTGATTTTAAACCATGCAGTATCCCCATGTAGTGAGTTTAGATATATTCTTTCCTATAGCAACTTAAGGTTGTGTCATCTTCATAACACAAGTTGATGAATCTTCCTCCAATCCTTATACCACATTTTTTTCATATAGTCCAACTTCATAATTATTTGCTAACTATGCAGATTTACGTGTAAAAGATACAAGTCTGACACATACTTTTCCCAATTTATGATGTTCCCTTGAAGATTATAGCCTTCAAAATGGATTATATCTTAACAACAACAAAAGTCATTACCCTTGGACAGTGGGCAATATTATGATACATGGAGAAAAGAATGAAACTGTCAACAATATTACTTGAATCCACAATCAACACCCATGGTAAAAACAGGAAATCAAAAGATGTGCTGCATGGCTAAATTTGCTTTTAAAGACCTCCCTGATCCAAACCATGATGTTGTTGTTATGTGCCGTTGAGTCGCTTGTGACTCATAGCGAACCTATGTACAAACAGCCCTAAACTCTGCTCTGTCCTGTGCCCATCGCACGGTCTCTGACACACCCATCTCGATCTCCCCAGTCAATGAATCAATCCACCTCAGAGGGTCTTCCCCTCTTGCGCCGTCCGTCCCTCCATCCTCCCAAGCACGATGTCCCTCTCTCCAAGGACCTGTCCCTCCTTACAACATGTCCAAAGTATGTCAGACCCAAGCCCCAGAATCCTTGCCTCCAAGGAGCAGCCTGATTTAACCCTCTCCAGGATGAATCTGTTTGTTTTCTTGGCAGTCCATGGCACATTCAACACTCTTCTCCAGTACCACAGCTCAAATGCCATGATATTTTCAATTTTTTCCTATGCATCTAATAGTTGGACAATGAATAAAGACGACAGAAGTACTGACACCTTTGAACTGTATCTTGGATTGTTAAAATATCCCATGGATTGCTAAAAGACCAAATAAGTCTGTGTTGGAGGAAGTGTAACCAGGGTGTTACTCAGAGGCAAGGATGATGAAACTTTGTCTCACATACCTTGGGCATGGTTTCAGGAGAGGCCAGTCCTTGCGAAAAACACCACCACGCTGGGAAAAGTAGAGGGTACAGAGGAAGAAAGGATGGCCTTCAGAAGATGGACTGTGATAGAGACTATAACAATGGGCTGGAGTGTATCTGAGACAGTAAGGATGCAAACGATAGGGCAAGGTTCAGCCCTGTGGTTCACAGGGTTGCTGCTCTGAGTTGTAGTCAACTTGATGGTACCTAACAATACAGCAACTTAAAAGGTACAAATACATACATTATGGATGAGAACAGATACTCAAAGACTAACCAAAACAAGATCCTAAATATATTAGAAAATTAGCCCAAGCAGTCAAAGCTAAAGGAAGAAACCAAGAAATCAAAGAGCTGAACAGAATATTTCAAAAGGCAGCCCAGGATGACAAAGCAAGATACTATAATGAAATGTGCAGAGAGCTGGAGTCAGAAAATCAAAAGGACTGAACTCGCTCAGAGTTTCTTAAGTTGAAGGAGTTGAAAAATAAATTCAACCCAAGGATGGCAAAACTTAAGGATACTTTGGGTAGAATGTAAAATGATCCAGGAAGTATCAATAGATGACAGAAGGAGTACACAGAGTCACTGTATCAGAAATAATTGGCTGACACATAAGAATTTCATGAAATAACCTTGGCTGACACATAAGAATTTCATGAAATAACCTATGACTAAGAGCCTATGGTGATGAAGGCGAAGTTCAAGTTGCTATGAAGGAACTGGCAAAAAATAAGGTTCCAGGAGTTAACAGCATACCAATTGATTTATTTTAACAAACAGACGCTGCCCTGATGTGCTCACTAAGTTGCGCCAAGAAATCGGGAGGACAACCAGCTGGCCAACTGACTGGAAAAGATCGAGAACTGTTCCCATTCCAAAGAAAGGTGACCCAACGGAGTGCAGAAATTATTGAACAATATCATTAATAACTACATGCAAGCAAGATTCTGCTGAAAATGATCCAAAAACATTTGGAACAATATGTCAACAGAGAACTGCCAGATGTACAGGCTGGACTTAGAAGAGGTCGTGGTAGTAGGGATATTATAGCTAATATTAGATGGATCTTGCAGAAAGCAGAGAATACCAGAAGAATATCTATCTGTGCTCCACTGACCATGCAAAGGCTTTTGTTTTGACTATGGATCATAACAAGCTGTGGCTAACTCTGAGAAGAATGGGAATCCCAGAACATTTGATTGTGCTAATGCAAAACCTGTACTTGGACCAAGAGGCAGTAGTCAGGATAGAACAAGGAGGTACTACATGGTTCAAAGGTCCGTCAGGGATGTATTCTGCCTCAATACCTTTTCAATCTGTATGCAGAACAGATCATCCGAGATGCAGGGCTGTACAAGGAGGAATGTGGCATCAGGACTGGTGGAAGAATCATCAACAACCTGCGTTATGCAGATGACAGAACCCTGCCTGCTGAAACTGAGGAGGACCTGAAGCGCTTGCTGCAGAAGGTCAAGGACTGCAGTCTTCAATATGGACTGAAGCTCCACATCAAGAAGACAAAGATTCTCACTACTGGGCCAATTGGCAGTATCAGTATGGATGGTGAAGAGATTGAGACAGTTAACAGTTTTAGTTTAGTTAGTTCCACAGTCAACAATCTTGGTTAACAGCACCCAGGAAATCAAGAGACGAGTTGCATTGGTAAAGTCAGCTGTGAGGGACCTCTCAAGAGTACTGAAGAGCAATGACATCAGGCTGGAGCCTAAGGCGCGCCTGATCCAGGCTATACTCTTCACAATT